AGGATTGGAGGAAAGCTCATTAACAACCTGTGATACACAGACTACACAACTTTGCTTGCTGAAAAGTAAGGATGACTTGAAGCACTTGCTAATGTAGATTGAGGACTATAAGTCTGCTGTACCTCAATATAAAGGAAACAAAAATCCAATAAGCAGTGTCACAATAAATGGAAAAAAGATTGGAGTAGTCAAAGACTTCATATTACTTGGTTCTACAATCAGCACCAAAAGAAGCAGTAGTCAAGACATCAGAGGACGTATTGCATTGGGCAAATCTGCTGCAAAAGACCTGTTTCAAGTGCTGACAAGCAAAGATATCTCCTTGAAGACTTAAGGTGCACCTGACACAAGCTATGGTATTTTCATTTGCCTCATACACATGTGAGAGCTGGGCAATGAATAAGGAAGACTGAAGAAGAGTTGATGTTTTTGAATTGTGTTGGTGAAACATACTGAAAGTACTATGGCCTACTAAAAGGATTAACAAATCTGTCCTGGAAGAAGTGCAGCTGGAATGCTCCTTGGAAAAATGGCCAGACTTTGTCTCAGCTATTTTGGTCATGTTGTAAAGAAGGGATTATTCCCTGGAGAAGTATATCATGCTTGGTAAAGTGGAGGGTCAATAAAAAAGGGGAAGGCCCTCAACAAGATGGATTGACACTGGCTGCAACAATGTGCTTGGCCATAGCAAGGATTGTGAGGCTGGCACAGGACTGGGCAGTGTTTTCTTCTGCTATACATAGGGTCACTATGAGTTGGATCTGACTTGATGGCACCTAACAACAAGAACACCAAAAAAATGAAATATTTTTGAATGAACCTAGTCAGGGATGTAAAAGACTTATAGAGGCATGCCTTGTTTTATTATGCTTTGCTTTATTGTACTATGCAGATAATATGTCTCTTTTTTTCCCACAAGTTAAAAGTTTGTAGAAACCCTACATTGAGCAAGTCTCTTGGCACCATTTTTCAACAGCATGTGCTTGCTTCATGTCTCTCTATCACATTTTGGTGATTCTCACATTAATGCAAACTTCTTCTTAATATTACTGCACACTTAATAGACTATACTATAGTGAAAACATAACTTTTATATGCACTGGGAAGCCAGAAAATCTTTGTGACTTGCTTTATTGCAGTATTCTCTGTATTGTGGTGATCTGGAACTGAGCTCATACTATTTCCAAGGTATGCCTGTACAAAGAAAATTACAAAGCACTATGTGCAGGAAACCAAAAGGGAGCTACATAAATGGAAGAACATAGCATAGATATACCATGCAATCCTGATCCAGATTCCATCAACATTGTTTAAGGAGATGGAAAAACTAATCACCAACTCTCTATGGAAAGGAAATAGACCCTAGATAAGTAAAGCACTATTAAAGAAGAACAACAAAGTAGGAGGCCTCACACTCCCCAATCTCAAAACCTGCTATACTTCCACAGTGGTTAAAACAGGTTGGTATTGGTACAGTGACGGGCATGTAAACCAGTGGAACAGAATTGAGAACTCAGAAATAAATCCACCCACTTATGGACAGTTAATCTTTGTTAAAGGGCTGAAACCATTAAATAGGGAAGAGATAGTCTATTTAATAAATGATACTGGCAAATCTGGTTATCTACTTGAAAAATGGAACAGGATCCATATCTCACAGCATATACAAAACCTAACTCTAGATAGATCAAAGGTCTAAATGTAAAACATAAAACCATAAAGATCATCAAAGAAAACTAGGAACAAACTTAGGGGCCCTGATTTATGGCATAACTAGTCTGTCAAATATAACTAAAAATTCACAAATAGGAGATAAACTAGACCACTGGGACCTCCTAAAAATTAAACAATTAATACGCATCAAAAGACTTCTCCAAAAGAGTAAAAAAGAACCTACGGACTGGGGAAAAAAACTGACAATGACATATCTGACATGGGACTAATCTAAAATTTATGGGAAATATCAACACCTCAACAATGAAAAGACAATCTCATTAAAAAGTGGGCAAAGGATGTGTATAGACACTTAACACTTGCAGTCATTAGCTGTTAGATGCAAATCAAACCAACAATGAGATAACATCTCATCCCAGGAGTGATAGCAATGATTGAAAAAACAAAACAGCAAATGCTGGTGAGGATGTGGGGAGATTGAAACTCTCATACACTGCTGATGGGAATGTAAGAAAAAAAACTAAAGGAGCTCTGGTGGCATAGTAGATAAGGCACTTGACTGCTACTTGGTTAGAAGGTCAGTGGTTCAAACCCACCAGCCGCTCCACGGAAGGAAGACAGGGCAATCTACTTCCATAAAGATTTACAGCCTCAGAAACCCAATGGGGGTTGCTATGAATTAGTCTGTATGCTGAACAAATAACCCAAGAAGCTGGACTGTATGAAGAAGAATATGGCATCAGGATTGGAGGAAGACTCATTAACAACCTGCAATACGTAGACGACACAACTTTGCTTGTTGAAAGTGAGGATGACTTGAAGCACTTACTGATGAAGATTAAAGACTTCAGTCTTCAGTGTGGATTACATCTTAACATACAATGAAAATCCTCACAACTGAACCAATAAGCAGCATCAAAATAAATGAAGAAAAGACTGAAGTTGTTAAAGATTTTCTATTATTTGGTTCCACAATCAACACCAATGGAAGCAGAAGTCAAGACATCAGATGACACATTGTACTGGGCAAATCTACTGCAAAAGAACCCCTTTCAAATGCTGAAGAACAAAGATGTCTCCTTGAAGACTAAGATGCACCTAACCCAAGTCATAGTATTTTCAATCACCTCATTGGCATGTGAGAGCTGGACAATGAACAGGGAAGACCAAAGAAGAGTTGATGCTTTTGAGTTGTGGTGTTGGCGAAGAATACTGAAAGTACTGTGGACTGCCAAAAAAATGAACAATTCAGTCCTGGATGAAGTGCAGCCAGAATGCTCCTTGGAAGTAAGAATGGCCAGACTTCATCTCAGTTACTCTGGTCATATTGTCAGAATGGACAGTCCCTGGAGAAGGATATCATGCTTGGTAAAGTGGAGGGTCAGCGAAAAAGGAGAAGACCCTCAACGAGATGGATTGGCACAGTGGCTGCAGTGATGTGCTCGGGTATATAACAAGGATTGTGAGGCTGGCCCAGGACTAGGCAGTGTTTTGTTGTGTTGTACATAGAGTTGCTATGAGCCAAACTGACTTGATGGCACCTAACAACAACATAACCACTGTGGAAAGCAGTATGGCACTTCCTTAAAAAATTTGAAATAGAGATACCATATGCTCCAACAGTCCCACTACTAGGTATATATCATAGAGAAATTGTGACACAGATATATGTACACCCATGTTCATTATAGCATTATTCATAGTCGCAAATAGATGGAAACAGCCTAAGTGCCCATTAATGGATGAATGGGTATACAAACTATGGTAACATACACACAATGGAGTACTATGCAAAGTTAAGAAATAAAGATGAATCTCTGAAACATCTGACAACATGGATGAACCTGGAGGATGATATGCTGAGTAAGATAAGTTAGTCACAAAAGGATAAATACTATATGAGACCACTGTTTTAAAAAGTCAAGAAAAGGTTTGTGCACAGAAAGAAATATTCTTTAGTTACCAGGGATAGCCAGGAGAGAAGGAAAATGACTAAGTAGATAGTAGACAGGTATTAACTTGGATAAAGGGAAATGCAATATACAATAAGGGAGGGGTCAGTACGGCATGACCAGTGAATACTGTTACATACACAATCCTTCAAAAACAGTAATAACAACCAATAATTTACAAATGGGTAAGTAGGTAGATATGTAAGCTGAAGAGTTGTGGGATGGCTTATGGGAGTACATCTCCAAGCATATATAGGTTTCACAGAGGATATTTCTACATATGTATTTGTATGTGCTGCAGATAGATCCAAGTATATAATAGAGCAGGAGCTCTGGTAGCATAGTGCTACCAGCCAGTTCAATCTCACCAGCCACTCCTCGGAAGGAAGACTGGGCTATCTACTTCCGTAGTGATACTGCCTTGGCAACCTAAGGAGGGGTCTCTATGAGTTGGGGCTGACTCGATGGCACATAACAACAACATCAATAATATAATAGAGCATACAGGGACCAATGTTATGAAAACTTCTTACCCATAATGAGACAACTTAAGGGACTGAGGTCACTGGGCTTGAGGGCTTAGGACCACAGTCTTAGGAGACATCTGGGTCATTTGGCATAACAGGGTCCATAAACATAAAGTTCTATACCCTACTTGGTTAGTAGCGACTAGAGTCTTCAAAGCTTATGACTAGCTATCTAAGATACAACTATTGGTCTCTTCCTGACTGGAACAAAGAAGAGTGAAGAAAACCAAAGACTCAAGAAAACAATCCAAAAGACTAATGGACCACATGAACCACCACCTTGATTAGCCTGAAGAATTAGATGGTGCCTGGCTGCTACTACGATCGCTCTGATTAGGTTCACAATCAAAGGTCCTGGACAGAGTGGGATAAAAATGTACAGTATGATTCAAAATAATGAAAAAAGACCTGACTTCCTGGTCTCAGAGAGACTGGTAGAATACCCAATATTGTGCCTCTTAGACAACCTTCAGACTTGGAACTGAACCTACTCCCCAGGATCACCTTTCAGCAAATAATAGACAGTGTATAAAGTAAGCACTAACACCAGTGAGGAATGTGCTGCTTAGAATAATCAACCATAGGAGACCAAAAGGGAGGCATTTGCGCAAAAACAAATTTCTGAAGGCAGGAAGGGACAGAACAGATGGTCGAATGGAAACAGGAAACCCAGGAAGGAAGGGGGATGAGTACTGTTATAGTGAGGGATTGTAACTAATGTCATGAAACAAAATGTGTATAAATTGTCGAATGAGAAACTAATTTGCTGTGTAAACTTTCGCCCAAACCACAATAAAATGTTGGAAAAAAAAAAACACCTAATTTTTTGCTTTCTTTTTCTGAATAGGAATTCAGAAATTGGTGTTAGCAGGAAGAATGGGAGAAGCCATTGAAACAACACAACAGTTATACCCAAGTTTACTTGAAAGAAATCCTAATCTCCTTTTTACATTAAAGTGAGTTTAATAAAATATGCTGTATTTATTACATATATATAGCTACGTATTCATTTAGTTAGATAGTTATATAAAACCAAAATAAATTTCATGCGTAATAGTTTTAATTTTTGTTCTACCTTGTTTAAAAGTATTTACATATTGTAATTTAGCACATTTCAGTGGCACTTGTGTTGAGTATTACAAACAGATGTCATCTTTTGAATACATGTTTTTTCTATACCAGTCTGTGTGTCTAAAGTCTGAAAATCTTATTTGGAAAATGCATATCTGTTTTTCCCCCTAAAAATCTTACAGTAAGGTCTGTTTGTCATTTTTCATTGATCTGTAATGAATTTGCTTTTTGGATAAACTTAAGATTTTAATTCTAAGCAATTGAAAAAACCTTTTTTTAAGTCAAATGTCAGAATTGTTTTACTTTAGAGTAAAAGAAATGGAAATGGGGCGAGATCGAAGAGTGGAGGGGAGAAGGCTACTGCTTTTTATCATAAGGAGCTCTGGTGGCATAGTGCCTAAGACATTTGACTGCTAACCAGAAGGTTGGCAGTACAAGCCCACTAGCCCCTCTGTGGAAGGAAAACTGGGCAGTCTACTTCCGTAAAGATGTACTACCTTGAAAACCCAATAGAGGTCTCTATGAGAGGTCGCTATGTGTCGGATTGATATGGACATAAAAGTACATGATGTTCTTGTGTGCTATTTGATCCACTACAAAGTACACATATTTTGTTAAAATTATTTTTACCTCCAAAAACTTAATGCCCATTTTAATTTTCTTTATTATAGCTACACACAGTTTCATTTCTCTGTGAAATTTTGATTAAGCATCTAAAGTTATTATAGTATCTTTTGTATTATACTCATTTTTCTGGAAAATTTTAAATTTATTTAAATATTATTTATATTATATCTATACTAAATATATTAATATATTAAATAAATATTATTAAAATATATTTAAATATTAGCATAGTATAAAACTCATTGCCATCAAGTTGATTCCGACTCATCGGGGCCTCCTTTGGGTGTCCGAGTCTAAATCTTTACGAAACTAGCTTGCCCAGTCTTCCTTCCACGGAGTGTATGAAACCATATTTATTATTTTTAGCTTACTATTTTGAAGATCAGACTTACTGATAAGTACAAGTTCCTAAAATATTTCAGAAACCTGTTGCTATTAAATAAACAAAGAGGTCATTTGAAGATTATGTGTACATAAAGTTTTGTTTTCTTTTTTAGAGTACGTCAGTTTATAGAAATGGTGAATGGTACAGATAGTGAAGTGCGATGTTTGGGAGGCCGAAGTCCAAAATCTCAAGACAGTTATCCTGTTAGTCCTCGACCTTTTAGTAGTCCAAGTATGAGCCCTAGCCATGGAATGAATATTCACAATTTAGCATCAGGCAAAGGAAGTACTGCACATTTTTCTGGTGAGATTCAGTCTTACATTATTTTTAAGTTTTTATCTTCCTTTAAAATTTTGAACTAAAAAAAATTCTAGATATTTTCTTGCATATGTGACATTTGGTCTTAAGATGTTTTGGATGAAAAATTATAGGTAGAACAAATTCCTGTGTACAAGCAGTAACTTAAAGAACAGTTGTTTCTGAAAGTAGATTTTTCGAAGATCTTCGTAACGAAAATCAACACTCAAAATGAGCTGTCGCTAGAAATTAAGTCATAGATATTAGATAATGAAAAATTAATTATGTTTTTTCATAAAGTATAAATATAAAGGTAATTTGGTTGTGATATTTTTGTGGCACTGCTCACCAAATCTGTGGGCTGTCTGTCTGGTCTGTCTCCCTTCTTTTCCAACCAAGCTTCTTGCCAGAGTTTACTTCCTGTTCTTTTCTCCTATCCCTTTCTCAGCTCACCAGTCTCTGTGGTGTTTGATTTTCTCTTTCTTGAAATTCTCTCCTTTCTTGGCTTTTGTGAATGTAACAGTTTATTTCAGCTCCTTCTCAGTCTATCTTTGCTTACCTCTTTAATTCTGTGTTTCCCCAGGTGTTAGCTTTCTCTGTATATTCAGCTGTCTAAAACAGAAGTCAAATGATGTTTCCTTTCCTTTTACAGAGTAGAGTAACATCATGGCTTTTGTCAGTCAGCATATGCTCTCTTCATTACTGCCTCTTCGCTTACATCACTGTCCTGGATATGCAAAAGATTCTTGTGTCTGAACCTTAGCCATCACCCCTCTTGAATGTCATACAACCACTTCAGGCTTGGCTTGCTCAAAGCAACTCTTACCTTTGTATAGGACTTTTTTTCCTTGAATTTTCCTCATCTCAGTTAGTGACACTACTGTTCACCCAGTCACCCAAAGTGGAAAAACCTAGGAATAATTGTACCTCTTAACTTCACTCTTAACTCGTCCACATCCTGTCAGTCTGTATGGTTCAGATCTCTTTCACTGCCATAGGCCAAGACCATCACTGTTTCTTGACTGGGTAACTGTACTAACCACCTACCATTCTCTCTATCTCTAGTCTCATCCCTTTCAAATGTTGCTCTGTGCTTGTGCCTGAGTAATCTTTTTAAAACTCAAATATGAACATATCATGATTCTGCTTGCTTTCTTTTAATGACTTTCCACAAGTCTAAGCAATCAGCGATCATGGCTACAACTAACAACAACAAGCAAAACTCAAAAGAGTCCTTTACTTTAACATAAAAAAAAATCTCATCTCCATCTTGCACCTCAGTAATGCCAAGCTCTTTTCAGTCAGTGAAGGTATCCTGTGGTAGTGCTTCTCTGCCTTCACATATGTTATTTCTGTTTTATGTAAATACCCCTTTTCCCTTCTCTGCCTCATGTTTTGCTATTAATACTTTCACACGTGTGTCTTGTTGCTTGGAGATAGTTTGCATTCCTTCTGAAAAAAACAATTATTGTTAGCTTTAACTAAGTAAATTATTGATAGTTAGCTGTGTGATTACAAACCAATTTCTTAAATTCTTTTGAGCCTCAGTATACTCAAAGGTAAAGTAGGGTGGATGATAGTACTGTCCTCAAAGGGAGATTGACTACGAGATTCATTGTTAATCCTTCAGTAAATGTTAGAGGAGCTCATTATTAAGTATTCTTAAATATCCTTTAAAAAGTGACTTATTTTACTGTTTAAGTGGTACACTAATGCTCCTACATTACAAAAGTCTTGAATAAAAAAACAGGATGTAAGGACATTATTTCCAGTCAAATCAATGTTTGTTTCTATTCCCATGTGGTATCTTTTTCTTCTTTTCTAAGGTTTTGAAAGTTGTAGTAATGGTGTAATATCAAATAAAGCACATCAATCATATTGCCATAGTAAACACCAGTCATCCAATTTGAATGTACCGGAATTGAACAGCATAAATATGTCAAGATCACAGCAAGTTAATAACTTCACTAGGTAAGTGATTTCCCTAGCATTTGCACTAATGTAAGCATCCTAATTATAGATGTTGTTATTGTTAATAGTTTTCAAAATAATTAAATTACATGGTTTAACTTGGGGGTCTGGGAGTTACCAAATCCCCAGAGATTGAAAGGGTAGGAAATAAGATTCTGCAGCTTTCCTGTCTCCAGTATGCATGCGGACTCTTTCTTTAATTCTTTCCTCTGATTTTAATACCTTCTTCCCACTGATAGGGACACATTCAGGGCTCTGTGCATTCTCATCTGCCAACCATATCATATACAGGTGATCACGTAAATACCATTTGTTATGTTTCTAAATTAAATCTCATAGTATATTCAACCTCTGATGTTATCATAATAAGATATATGTACAACTGTTCTTTTCTCTGTGTGTAGAATTTTTTAGTGTAAATAGTGAAATGTTCTCTAAGTTCCAAATAACTTACTTTACAAAGAAGCTTTCATTAAGTAGCTTGCATACAGCAGATGGTTAAGTCATTGAGTAAACATATATTAAAGACCTTTTGGGTGTCAAACATTCTGCTAGACATTTGGGATACAAATGTGATTATGATGTAGTCTCTGACTTTGAAAAGCTTTTAGAAAAGTGATGTTTAACTCAGTATACTACAACTTGTGTCATACTCAGGTTTTAAATTTCATGAAACTGAAAGTTCATGAAGTGTAATCATTTGGTTTGATTACACCTACTGCTCATTTATTGACATGGTTAGGTTCCAAAGACTAGATCATTACACAAAAATGGGCATTATGCAGAAGCAGAGGATGACCACATTAGATCACAAAATGGAGGATGACTACATCATTACATACCTGCCAAATTATATCTTTACATAACAGCCAAACTGCTGAGGAGCATGGTCGAGCCAAGTTGACATATAACCCTGACCATTAAAGCCAGCACCTTAGTGTTCCTTACTGCTAGATGTATGTCATTAATGTACAAAGTAGTCAGATAGTAGATATCTTACTATTGTACATATGAAAGGTTAGGTAAGTTGAAGAGTCAATAAGTAAGGGGTAGGTACACTACTGTGCATGAGCAAATTCTTGTGAATGAGCCTGCACAGACCTCAGCATTGGAATCTCAATTTGGTTCAAGTCTAGTGAACTTTCATATTCATAAAGATAATGGATGAACTTACCAGTTTGATGGTAGTTTGGTCCTATAACATAGATGGGTTTGTTTGCATTTGGGGGAATATTCTGGTTGGTACAAAATTTTCATATTGGAAGATAGAACCTTACTGAAAGATGAAAAGGTAGATAGATTTTATCATAGAATCTTGATTTTTTTTATCATGGAAACATTTTTGTGAAAGCATGTAAAAATATGCATTTGGAGATTAGTCAGAATTTTCAGGTTATCTGTCACAAATGACAAATATCTACTGAATGGTGGTATATGAAAAAAGTTTAATGCAGGTTCATAAAAGTGGTGTGAGAATAATAGAAAAGTTATTTTTTGCTGAGGAGATCAGGGAAGTTTTCAAATTGAAGATGACATATTAGAAATACGAAATTAGACTATTGTAATAATAATTATGTATGGAAAACTTTAAAGTTAATCCATTAAGTGCATTATAGTACTTTAGTACTTCGTTGTTGATAAAGTTCTGCCATTGTTTGTAGGTAGGATTGCACTCAGTTTTTCTCTTAAATGCTGTATTAAGGGTAGGAAATTGCTAAAGGGACTTACTGTTACCTGAGTTCAAGGAAATGGAAGGGGTTGAAGACACAGCATCCTCCTTTCTGCACAGTGTAAAAGGGGAAGAAAGTAAGCTTTTAGGTAACCGTTATAACCTTTTAAACAGTAACCATTATTTTATATTTGATAATGGCTTTCCTTACAACAAGATTGAAGTAGAGAAAGATGGTATTAACTATGAAAAAACCATTTTACAGATGTAGACCTGACTATCAAAATAGTTAATGACTTTTTTTTTTTTTTTTTTTAAATAAAAGTCAGTAAATAATAGGTAGTGGAGCTGAGGTGTTCCTAGGATTTCTGACTTGCATATGTGTGTTTTTTCTGTTATACCTCCCACTTTCTGAAATGTTCTTCTCCCTGTCCTCCCTAACGTCCATCCTGACTTCTGTTCGAGCTGTAAAACTCAGTTCAGATGTAGCCTCTTTCAGGAGGTGTTTCTTGATTTATATGCCTACCAAACAATCTAGAGAATATGTTGTGTTGTTTCTTGTGCTTAACTTTCATCATAGTATTGATCACTTTACAATGTAATATCATAATCAGCTTTTTATAAGCTATTAGCTGCTGGAGGACCGGCAGCTTTCATTATATTCTTAGCACCTTACGTGGTACATGCCTCGGCATCTTTTAAATGTGTGTTGAATGAATAAATGCCTCTCAAATGCTTTATTCTAAAGAAGGTTTAGTATTTTATTAAGATCATTGAAGTTTATGATCTTAAGAATCTCTGTTAAAGATTATGTTTAGAAGTTTGGTTGTCTTACCAATTTTCAAAGTTTGTCAATATGATAAACTAACTTTTTATGACTGCGAAAGTCTAGTCTGAAATCCTAGAGCCATTGCCCTCTTCTTCCTAGAGTTTATGTGTCTTTTTACCTTACCAATTCGACTAACAGAAATGTATAGACATGAATACACCCTTATACTCCTACACATACTTAAGTTCACTCCATCGTGTTTACCAGTGGTTACCTCTGGTGGCATTATGTGTAGACTGTTTTTGCTTATCTGTAGTCAGTGGGGTTTTTGTTTTGTTTTTAGTTCTCTAAGAATGTGGATGAATGTGAAGGAAATAGATTGACAAGTTATGTGTGTTCAGATGTAGTTATCGTCACGTATTAAATGTGGAATGAATGAGACTTAGAAACATCCGATATGTCCAAAGACAGCATTTCTAAAATTGAAGTTCAGCAATACTTTGAAATTTCAGCCAATAAACAACCTATGAGAAACAAAAAGTGTCAGGTACTGAAAAGTTACATAAGAGGATGAGTCTGAGGAATTATAATATTTGGTTTTTAAGATTATTGTTTACCTTTGAAAGGAGAGGATACATTTTTAAATAGAACAAATGCCAGAGTGTCAAGACTATTAAGGAATAGTCTAGAAGTGTGTTGAATTTGAGCACAAGAAAGAAGTGACACGGGTTCCAGTAGTGAAATTTATGCGTTTAAGTGTAAGATTTTCCCCTTACATGCTGGAAATGAATTCTGAGGAGAAATGCTGGGGCAAGAATTGACTAACAGAGTGAAGTGCAGATCTGGGTTTGAAAAGTCATAGGACTATTGTGCTGATGTATGACTGCTCCATGTTGATGTAAGTCCTAAAACAACTACATTTTAGCATGTGAACCTTTTCTCTCCCTTGTCTCTAGGGTTACAAGTTTTCTAAAAGTCACCTACATACTTGACTTTGAATACATTTGAGATTTAACTAAATCTCTTTCTTTGCAGATTGCTATTGCCTTTTGAGCCAGTTTATAAGTAGGCTATACAGTTGAGTAACAACTTTTGTTTCAAACTAAGTTAGTTACAAGTATGATATTTCTAAAATTAGGTATGTTTTTTTGTTTTCAGTAATGATGTAGACATGGAAACAGATCACTGCTCCAATGGAGTTGGAGAAACTTCATCCAATGGTTTCCTAAATGGTAGCTCTAAACATGACCACGAAATGGAAGATTGTGACGCCGAAATGGGTCTGCAGTGATATTTCTTACATTTTTAATAAAAAATGATGGCTACAAGGTTATGTTTTTATTTGTACTGATTCACAGATGATGAGCATAAGCCAAATTTAAAGATATATATGCTATAGGATTGACAATAATAAATACTTTTCTTAAACTTTTCTTTTGAGATTGTGGGTTGTGAGAGTAGAGCTACTTTTCTGTACCCTCTGAAGATAAATGCCAGACATTTTTCTTTGACAAACTGTCTATTTAGGCTTAACTTCAGTGCTGCCATTAATACAGCAGTACTATCTTATTAGTGTTGAGCCTTTAGAATATTTGAAGGTTGGATATAGGAAAATTTTTTACATTTAATTCAGTATAGCCACCGAAGACATGTGGGTAGGTTGATTTTATAGATTCTAATCAAAGTTTCCTAAGAAATCTGAACATATTTTTATGCATAATACAGCATATGGTGGTGTTTAAGTATGACTCTCCCATTCTTCTCCAAAATTATGTGACTCAAAGTTACAATATCATGCATAATTTCACTTTATTGACAAATTATGTAGTAAATTAAATTGTACCATAAAGTTAAACCATCAGCAAACATTCTTCTCCATTGGAATGAAAATTACCGAAGGTTATGAAGGATTTGTCAGAATTGCCTGGAGACATTAGATTTCTTAGTATACTGAAGTTTAAAGACATTTATTAAAGTATTCAGAGTTCCTATGAGAAACTGCTTTATAAATGCAAGATTTTTCTTTTATTGTTTATTTCATCACTACCTTGTTGTTGAGGATGATGGATTCCAATATATAATTCACTTTTTCAAACAAGGAATTTGATTAAAGTGGCAGCTTAGTTTTACTCTATTAGAAATCAGCAACCTTGACTTTGAAAGAGAAATTTCAGGATAATGATCAAGATTAGGAGTTCTAGAGACAGATTACCTGGATGTGAATTCTAATATTGTCACTTGCTAGCTGTGTGACCATAGCAAGTTAATTGCTCTGTGCCTCAGTTTCTTCATCTGTAAAATGGATATAATAACAACTACCTCATAGCTCATTGTGAAGATAAAATTGGTTTATCTGTAAAAAATTAATAACACAAAGTAAATGTTAATAAATGTGAGCCATTATCATCATCATCATCTTCATTAATGACTTTTCGTGGTTACATTGTTGTCAGTCAAGGTATACACTATATATAAAGTTATTTTCTAAAAGTATGTTTTGATTAGTATAATGTAGTATTGTCTGTGTTTTTATTGGAATCATTTAGCCTCTGTTAGCTTCCCAGAATCATTTAATGCTATCTTTGTTCTGTGTCAGTTAAAGCAGACAAAATATTAGTTACTTTTTTTTTTCTTTAAATGTTGCTTAATGTAGCATTGAAGAATTGCACTTAACATCTCATAAAATTTCTCCTGACATACTGAGTACATCCTAACGCTGAAAAGTTGTCTCTTGACTCTCAACTGTATGCAAGACATGGGTCCCTAGACTCGTGAGACTAGTTAAAATATATCTTTTCACTATGAAATTTAAAATAAATCTGCATATTTAGATGAACTGTTAGGGAGTAAGTATTAAAGCAATGTATAGGGCATGTTATCAGCAGTTTGTGTTTTCTTTCGTCATTATGCTTCATTCAGTAAGGTAGTAAAATACTTGTTTGTTTTACTTAACAGAAGTTGATTCCAGTCAATTGAGACGCCAGTTGTGTGGAGGAAGTCAAGCCGCCATAGAAAGAATGATCCACTTTGGAAGAGAGCTGCAAGCAATGAGTGAACAACTAAGGCGAGAATGTGGCAAGAACACAGCAAATAAAAAAATGTTGAAGGTAAATTTGTTCTCTCTTGAAAAATTACAGATCTGTCAAAACAGCTGAAATAGCATTTTATAGAACATTACACACTGTACTAAAAACTTTTCTTGAGAAAGCTGGGCATGGATCCCTCTTGCCCCTACGTAATTGAGAGAGAAAAATTTTGATGGAGTTAGCCCTTGTCTACTAGGAAGAGCATTGGACTTCATGTCAGAAATGCAGATTAAATCTCACTCTTGCCATTTATCAGCATTGTGTGGCCTTTGTCAAGTTACTTAGTTTTATTTTTTTGCTGTAAAATTGGCAGTTATTAGAAACAATGTGAGTTTGCTGATAAAACTATAAATTTGAGATTTTTTAAATTATTTTAGTAAACATGGTTCAGTGTTGCAGCAGATTGAAATAATAATGCATGATTTTCATTTTGAGGGGAGTTGGTGATGGGCATTGGGTCATCTTTCACAGACAGAATAGTTAAAATACATTTTATGTTGAAAACTGTTCTGGATTGATGTCCATAGTGGATAGCAAAATGGCTAAAATTTAAATAATGCAGTAAGTTATCCACATTTTTGTACATCAGTTGAAGATAGAGGGCTTTTCCACTAACTTAACTCAACATTGCAGTTAGTTGTAGAGACATTATGGCTCTTTTAAAAGGTTCTTTTTTTCCTTTCCATTCTCATCAGCTCTGTAAGCCTATGAAACATTAACTTATTAGTCACTGTGTGTGTATGTTTTTTTTTTTTTTCCTCATGCATTAGGTTGAGCTCAAGGTTAATTTGTTAAAAACATTTTCTCCTGAATGTTTTGAAAGAAGTTTAGAAAAAAGGGGGGGTGGTGGTGGCAGGGGAGCTGCATGGGGTAGTCTTGAGAAGGACAACAGACTCTTGCTATCTTTTCCTGACCTAACATGAGTGTTGGTAAATTGGTCAGCAGCACCTGGAGCACCTAATACAGGATAGTAACCTTGACACAAAATCAGTAGAAATGGAACAGTTGTACCCTCGTACATATACATCTGTGTATATGTAATAGGTTGGCATAGTCTAGGCTGGGTTAAGCAGCTACCTTAAGTGAGGTGGAAAGAGAGGTGTATTTACCACATTTAATGCATCTGCTGTATATTACAACAACCGCTATTTCTAAATGAGCTGTCAAAAAAAGGCCAAATTTTGATCCTTATGTTAAATAAAAGGGAATTGGTGAATTATATGATTTAAACGATTTTTCATTTGAAAAGTCAAATGAGACATTCATATACTGGGAAAATGGCTGTCCCCATTTGCCCTATAGACAGAGTTCCTTCCTTGAGGTCAGACTATATATCTTCACTTAAGTCTCCTGACCCTTTTTGATTTTTTTTTTTCTTTTTTAAACATTTCTCTGATGTTTAGCATGTTGCTGTTGTGTGTCATCAGGTGTAGTCGGACTCATAGTGACCCTGTGTGACAGTAGAACTGCCTCATTGGGCTTCCTAGGATATAATCTCTATGGGAACAGGTCTTTTCTCCCATGGTGCTGCTGGCTGGGTGGGTTCAAACTGCCAAGCTTTTGGTTAGCAGCTGAGCACTGGGGGAGGGGACGACACCATACTCACTGCCATCAAGTTGATTCTGACTCATAATGACCCCCATTGGGTTTCTGAGGCTGTAAATCTTTATAAAAGTAGATTGCCCCATTTTCCTTCCACAGAGGGGCTGGTGGGTTTGAACTGCTGACCTTCTGGTTAGCAGCCAAATTCCTTATCCACTATACCACCAGAGCTCCTTAATTTGCCACCAGGGCTCCTTAATGTTTAACATATAGGTATTCAGTAAATGTGTATTTAATTGAAATTGAATTCATTTGAAAAGTGTGACTGATTTTTCCAGATTTGCAATTTTCATCACCATACCACTTTGTAGAACCTTTTCTGATATCAGGAGTGCTGAGAAGAAACTTAATATTTAGGCTCAGTTATCAAGTTATTTTGGGTATCTGAAGTTACCCATTTAGGAAACAGAATACAACCTTTTTGGTATCTGGCCTCTTTAAAAATTATTTAGGATCCCAACGAGCTTTGGTTTATATGGGTTATAGCTACTGCTATTAACCATATTAGAAATGAAGACTAACATAAAAATTCTTATTAATGCATTTAAAAGTAATAATGAGTCTGTTAAATAAAATTTTTATAAAAAATAACTTACCTCCCCCATCACCACAACACAATTTCTGCAAATGTTTTTTAATAGAAGAAAAGCTTCTCTGAATAGAAGAATGGATTCTCATATGTGCTTTTGCATTCAGTCTATTAAAGTCTACACACCATGTTAAAAAAAAAAAAAAAAAAACACTGCCACGGATCAGTTTTGACTCATACTGACCCGCATTGGGTTTTCAAGGTGGTAAATCTTTATGGAAGTAGATTCTAGCCCCATCTTCCTTCTGTTGATTGGCTGGTAGATTTGAACCGCCAGCCTTCTGGTTGACAGTCAAATGCTTTCAGCACTGCGCCACCAGAGAAAATCGCACTGTGTAATTGTGAGAGAATGAGAGAGAGAGTGTTGTTAGTGAAATAGTTTTAACCTGACAGACTTCTGGAAGGATCTTGGACCCACATGTGTGAGTTACATAGTGTCTTTGAAATTTTAAGATTATTCTCTATCAGCTTGTTGTGTCTTTGATTGTAATTTGCATGAAGCTCAGAAAAATAACATTTTATGGTCTATTCTCAAAGATAACTCCTTGATTATAAGTTATGTTAAGGTGTGTATTCCCATCTTTAGATGGCTTTGCTTTTGCTTCTCTGACTTAAAAACAAATGGCAAGTGCTTGAGACTTTTCTTAAGATATTGAGCTCCTTCCCTTTTGTTCCCCAAACTTACCTTGATTCAGATGGGCATAAGATAGGTCACTGATCTACCTGGTAAGTAGCCAGCTAACAAGGCCAGAAGGAAAAGAGAAGCCAGAATTTGAGGGCAACTAGGAGCTCTGGTGGCATAGTGCCTAAGGCACTTTACTGCTAACCAGAAGGCTGGTGGTTCAAACCCATCAGCCACTCCTCGGAAGAAAGACTGGACAATCTACTTCCATAGAGATACAGCCTCAGAAACCCAAGGAGTGGTCCTATGAGTTGGAACTGACTTGGCAGCAGTGAGTTTAGTGAGTTGAGAGGAAAAAAAAAATGTTGCCATAGTTGAGAAGATTTAGAAATTCCTCTTCTTTATATTCTTCATTTCAGTACTCATGTAATTGTAGTGGTTTTTAGAACTCTCAGTGTTTTAGGATTTGCATAAATTTTGGATCATATGTATGTATATATATGTAGAGAGAGAGAGATTTGGTTAAGATTGAAGATTAAAAAAAAAAAAAAAAACTGCCATTGAGTTGATTTCAGCTCATAGTGGCCCTATAAGATAGAGTAGAACTGCCCCATAGGATTTCCACAGCTATTAAATCTTTAGGAAAGCATACTGCCTCATCTTTCTCCTGCGGAGTAGCTGGTAGGTTCAAGCTGCTGACCTTTTGGTTAGCAGCCAAATGCTTTAACCACTATGCCACCAGAATTCCTTAGATTGAACATAAGATCTAAGTAATCTGCTTCTCTCATCAAAAGATACTTTTGTATTTTGCTTGGTTCAGCTCAGATGTAGGGAAGCAGGCATGATTGTAGATTGTATGAGTGGCTCCTCTGTAGCGAAAATGGGTTCCTGTAGTAGCTGATGGCACAGTTTCTCTTTCCTTTTTTCACGGTGTTCTTTTCCTGTTGTCTTTGTTTTTGTACTTCACCTGCCTAGGTCTGCCAGTGGCTCCCAGGAGAATTGCCTGAATTGGTTTGTGCAGCAGCTATTAATTAAACTTATCCTATGTGGCAAGGCATTGTGTAGGCACTGTGGGAAAGTCATAGATGAATGAGCAGCCCTAGCCTGCAAGGAACTTTTAATCTAGTAACTAAAGCAGAAATAGAACCATTTCGATTCAGCTTCTTTAGAAACTGCTCTGGATTTTAAGCCATGTCTTAGTACAGTTTGAAAATACTACCTAAATGATGTCACATTTTCCTCAGAAATTATTCCCATTGAGGTAATATTTTTTCTTTAAAATAAAAAATAACCCATAATGCCATGATATTTCTCAGATATTTTCAGTTTAGCACTTAACTTCCATGTGCATATATTTGGCCTAGTTAGTAATTATGGTTATACTATTTGGTATTTTGTTTTTATTTACTATTATAAAATTTATTTCCTCCCAGTTTTCTGTGCATTATTTACAGTTATTTTTAAATGACTACATGGTACTCTATTGTGTTGCTGTTACCAATTTATTTTTTTATTGTTAGAGGGGCCCCAGTGGTGCCGTGGTTAAAGTACTCAGCTGCAAACCGAAAGACCAACAGTTCCAATCCACCAGCCACTCTGCGGCAAAAAGATGTGGCCATCTGCTTGTGTAAAGATGATAGCTTTGGAAACTCTGTATGGCAGTTCTGCCCTATTTCTATAGGGTCACTATGAGTCAGAATCCAGTAGACAGCAGTGGGTTTTGGTTTTGTTTTTATTGTTACTTATTTACTTTTATGGAGCTCTGGTCGCTATGAGTTGGGTCGGACTCGACGGCACATAACAACAACAACAACAACATTTACTTTTATGTCACATGCTTTAGTGAATACCTTTATACATGTATTTTTATGTTTCTTCCTTAAAATTATTCCATTGGGTTAAATTCCTAGAAATGGAATTACTGGGTCAGAACATATGAACATTATTGTGGCTTTTACTACTTATTGCTATATTGCTTTCTAGAAAGCTTCTACCTGTTTACCAGCAGTAATGAAGGAATGTACCAGTGGCAAAACCCAAACCAAACCCACTGCCATCAAGTCTATTCTGACTCATAACCCTCCTATAGGATAGAGTAGAACTGTCCCACAGTGTTTCCAAGGCTATAAATCTTTATGGAAGGAGATTGATTGCCTCATCTTTCTCTTGAGAAGTGACTGGTGGATTTGAACTGCTGACTTTTTGGTTGGCAGCCAAATCCTTCAACCACTGTGCCACCAGAACACCTTGATACCAGTGCCACTGCTACCTTACTCCAGCTTTAATGGATTTAACCATGTTTAAATTGCTTATTTTTATTTCTTTGGTTGTCATCACCAACACAATTTTATAACATCATTTAAAAAATTAATGACTTTATTAGTTTTCTTGCTAACAACTTCCCTTCACTTCTGAATCATCTTTTGTAATATTGCTAGTATGGTCTTTATAAACTCAAATTTAATCCAAATCAGTCTTCTGTTTAAAACCCTATTGCCTTACTGGAAAAATGTCACGTTTCTTAGCATGGTATTTGAGGAGCTAACCTTTTACTCATGACTCCAACTGTGCTTTTTCTCCTTTCTCTCAGTCTCAGTTTGCATGTCTCTTCAACCTGTTTCTGTATTGTCACATACGCAGCACGTGACTCATACCTGCCTTCCCTACCATGCATGTGAATTCTTTAAAGCATTGAGAGGTTCTGGTCTTCGATGTTTGTATCCTCAGCATCTGGCAGCTTTGTTCGATAAACATTTCTTGAGTTACACTGAAAATAAAATATGAGAAGAAAATTTTAGATTTTTCCTCTTAATGTTTAGATTGGTAATTAAAAGAAACTATGGTTTATAAAAAGAAGTATAGACTAGTTGTGTGATCTTAACCTCTCACTACATCAGTTTGCCTTTTCACAAAATGGGCATAATATTATCAACCTCAGGGTTATTCTAGTAGAAATTGTTAGTGCCTGAAACATTGCCTCGCATGATATTAATGCATGATAGATAACTACCATCTTCATTATTGTTATCTTTTCTATGGTTCTGTCTTCCAGATGTTCTTTCTAAGACTGGGTTTTTATTTTAAATACTAGAGAGTATAAACAGAATAATTGTCTTGATTTGAGATTTGGACCTGCAACATTTCACCTTTTGTGTGCAATGTCAGGATGGTACCCATGAGAGTAGTGTTGTACTTGAAGTTTTCATTTAATCAGTTAGCACTTGGACAAAATCTTTTAAATTTATCTTTTTAAATTTATCTATACTATGGGGATAGTACTTCATTAGATGGTGGAAGGGTAAATTAGGTCATGAGCAAAGCTTAGTCTTTATAACCATTGTTATTGATTAGTGTTAGCTTTACAAGATACTAACATTAACATTGGGAGCTCTGGTAGCATAGTGGCTAAAGCACTTGACTGCTAACCAGAAGGCTGGCGGTTCATACCCACCAGCCACTCCTC